TGTGTGTCAAACAATAGAATCAACTGTAAGTCAGCGAGTAGGCTGTGTGTTGAGCTATAAATAACCTATTAATTGGGAAACTCGGATTGCACGCTCGCAACACCATGCCTAAATTGATGATAATACACAAAAAAGTACCACAAAAGCATAGAAGAAACAAAAGGCAGCTCAAGTCAAAGAAAATAGCAAAAGGATAGAGATGAAAAAAAATTAGAACTAAATTAGGAGTAGTAAAATAGATGTTAAGGAGAAACAAGTTGAAAGAATTATGATAAAGCACAGGAAAATTTTGCAAACAATCCTCATATAAGTTGTTAGAAAAATATTATTTTTAAGTTTGACATTGTATATTGCATTTATATCATTCACCTGTCTTTAGAACAAGCCAAGCAACTCTAACTGAAGCTCATGATAGCGTGGTTGAAAGACCCATTTCTTGCATTATTTCAAGATTGCTTTTCTTAACAATAATTTTTAATTAGTTTCTTAATTATGATATAATCAAAATCTTTAAAAGCTAATAACAAGGCACCTTAAAAACGTGGAATTTCCTTTAACTTTCTCGAAAAAAAAGGTTCACTTTTTTAATATTAATTTTATTTATAAAAATAAGGATTATTTTTTGTGTAAATAATTTTTGTTTTGATAATAATAACAAAACAATTTAATATTTTTCTCATAGAAAAGGGATCAAGCTATTGTTATTATTAGCATTAGGACACATAATAGGGGCATGGATAACAATAATTGGACCCATATGCACATGATATCAAAACTTTGTACCAAACCCAACTTGTTTCTCAAAATTTTATATCAACCCAACCATACCCAAAAAAATTTACAAATTTTAACCCAAGCCTGGAATTATACCCATATCCTTTTTATTTAAAAAGATACCACAATAATAATAATTTTTAAGAATTACACTGTAAAACAAGAACACTAACAACTGTTTCTGGTTTAAATTTGATTAGGTTTCATTTGTTATTAAACCAGTTGCACAGAACTCCCTTTCACTGGGTGCATTGGGATAAATAATAAGAACATAATATTGATGGTTTTGGATAATGATCTTGATGAGTTTTCCACCATTCTAAAATGGTTAAGTTCAATTCCTTTGTGCTTTTGAAGACAAATATTTGTCAATTTCATTTTCTTCAGTTCAGTTTCATCATTATCTGAATCATAAAACTGACTGAAATTTGTTAAATCAACATTAGATTTTCTTTTTCTTTTAATAGGTCTTATATCATTAAATATATATATATAATATCATTATTATTTTAAAAAAATTAAAAAAATAATATTGTTGTTGTTGGATTTCATTAAAGATGTGTATATATATTATCTATTTTTGTTAAAGAAATCTATTTCAAAATTCACATGCATGAAATATAATAAAAATTTTTGGGTGGGGTATTTGGATACTATATATGTAATTTAAATTTCATTTTTAATTGAAATAATTTTTCAGGTTGCACAAAAATCTGGGTTATTCAAACAACAGGTGGGACCGTTCTGGGAACACAAAAATTAACAGGAGGGAACACAAAATTTTAACCCATGCCATTCGTTGATT